GTCAACATTCAGATTTATTCAGGGAGGGTTCCCATCTGCCTTGGCTTACTTCATGCTTTTAAGTTACCAGCAGAAGCAAACCTAGATAAGGACTTGGGAAATGGGAGAGAGAGTACTGAATGAAAAAGTAGTAAGCACAATAAAGACCTTAGTAGTGCTTCTCAAATTGAGGTAAAGGACCAGCTTCATTAAATTTCTAATGAGTCACAGGCCTGTTAGGCCATAAAATGCAATAAAAATAATTATTAGTAAAACAAAGTGTAAAAAAGCAAGCATATACAAAATATAGGTCAATTTTTTATTATTAGATTCCAAAGGCATATAATTACATTTGAATAAATATAATCATTACATACAAAATATAGGAAAAACATTTCTACACTAATTCTCAATTTTTTTTGCTTATCATAATGCTGACTTGTAACAAAAATTTGATGATCAGCATTCTAAGTCACACTGATTTACAGCATGATGCCATTTACATAAGTTAAAAATGCATAGCACAAAAGAGTATGTACAAATAAAGAAACACACATCAAGTCCATCACAATGGTTGTTCATTATAAGGAGTAGGAGAAGAAAAGAAAATTTGAATGAAAGAGACTCAATAAATGAGAGTGACCTGACACAGATGTGTGTGAATGGTGTGCTAGAAGTATGACTAATTCAACTTTGGGGTTCCCAGATGGTGCCGTGGTAAAGAATCTGCCTACCAATGAGGGTTCCACCCCTGGTTTGGGAAGATCCCCTGAAGGAGGAAATGGCAACCCACTCCAGTGTCGTTTTGCCTGGAAAAGCCCATGGACAAAGAGGCCTGGTGGATTGCAGTCCACGGTGTCACAGAGTCCAAACACGGCTGCGCAACTGAGCACAACTCAATTTCTGCCTCTGGGACACACGCACACACACACATGCACACACACACACACACACACACACACACTGAAAAGGTGTATGGAATAGTCTTTCCCACACTCTAGGACTCTTTTTCCTTAGCTTATATTTTCTATTTATTTTAACTGAATTGCAGGCAGATTCCTTACTGCTGAGCCATGAGAGAAGCCCATAGTACTTAAGAGGTATATTTAAAACCCTTGATATTGTTCACTAAATGCTCCTGCCTGCTGATTAAAGAACTCTGCCTTGTAGTTCATGATCTGAAATCATAGTATCGGTGCATCTGTACCAATACCTTCCTTTTTGGAAGCTTCCCTGAGTGTTTTTTTCAAAGTATGTGACCATACACATCTGCTTTGTACTTAGCCACCTCCCCGCTTTGCAGTGACCTGAGTTTTGTATGCCTGGAAAGTGAAGGGAAAGGTTGGGGAATCTGTGATTTGAGTTGTGTAGAAAAGTAATCTGTCCCTAGGATGCTCTAAACTCTTTGTTTCACTTAAAAGTGTATTTAAAAAAAAACTGAGTTATCAAAATGATCCTCTCATTTCTATTTGCAGACATGATCCAGTTGAGTCTGTAAGTGTATCTCTTGTTTCATTTCTTAAGCTCTGAGTTTGAGCGAGCTTCAGGAGTTGGTGATGGACAGGGAAGCCCACCGCAGTCCATGGGGTCTCAAATGGTCAAACACGACTGAGCGACTGAACTGAAACCTTCAGTGTTCACCACTGAATATTAATAACCAAATAAGTGAACATTTGAATTTCACCTGTTTATCTCTAACGGGATTTTAAATTAACTATAGAACTATTAATAATTTGTGCTTTAGATCTGTTATTCATCAGTCCAGCTCTTTGTGACTCCACGGACTGTAGCCCACCAGGCTCCTCTGTCCATGAGGATTCTCCAGGCAAGATTCCTGGAGTGGCTTGCCAATTCCCTCCTCCAGGGGATCTTCCTAACCCAAGGATCACACCTCCATCTCCTGTGGTTTCTGCATCGGCAAGTACTTTCTTTACCACTGAGCCACCTGGGAAACAAAACTAACAATGTTTTGTTTGTAAAGACCTGGGCTCCATCCCTGGGCTGGGAAGACCCCCTGGAGGAGGGCATGGCAACTCAACTCCAGTATTCTTACCTGGAGGATCTCCATGGACAGAGGAGCCTGGTGGGCTACAGTCCATGGAGTCGCAAAGACGGACACGACTAAGCGACTAACCACAGCACATAAGACAAACGGTGAAGAGGTATAAAGTGAAGTCGCTCAGTTGTGTCCGACTCTTTGCGACCCCATGGACTGTAGCTCACCAGGCTCCTCGGTCCATGGAATTCTCCAGACAAGAATTAAAACTTATTAATATTCACATAACTGTTCTATGAAAAAATAGCTCACCCACAGGATTTTAATATTCTCAAGGGTAGATTGTATGCATTCTGCATTTAGAGGTGGTTTGGAGCATGATCTTTTTTTATTTTTTGGGTGTTAGTTCTAAAAGGTCTTGTAGGTCTTCATAGAACTGTTCAACTTCAGCTTCTTCAGCATTACTGGTTGGGGCATAGGCTTGGATTACCGTGATATTGAATGGTTTGCCTTGGAAACAAACAGATCATTCTGTCGTTTTTGAGATTGCATCCAGGTACTGCCTTTCAGACTCTTTTGTTGACCATGATGGCTACTCCATTTCGTTTAAGGGATTCCTGCCCACAGTAGTAGATATAATGGTCATCTGAGTTAAATGCACCCATTCCTGTCCACTTTAGTTTGCTGATTCCTAGAATGTCAACATTCACTCTTGCCATCTCCTGTTTGACCACTTCCAATTTGCCTTGATNGCATTCACTGTAGTGGAACCAAGAAAATGCACAATGGCTTTCGATAACTTCTCAGAGCTACTTGTGTGATCTAGAATTCAAATGTTTAAGATGTCTTAATGCAAAGAACAGACAAAGTCTTTTTAAAACTTTGTAGGACTTGAAGGACATACACTACCTCTCTGCTTTCGGGAAGAATGGATGGGAGACTGGAGACAGAGGGAACAAAGCTGATGCAACACTATTTTTAGTCACTTTGCTATAGAATAAGAGACAACAAAGTGACATTTAATCTTCTGCTGGTAGTTTCTTTCCTCAGAGATGGTATCTGTTGATTTATCTTTATTGTCTGGTTTTGGAAGAAAGCTTGGCAGTACAGTCTTGCAGGAGTGCTGACCCACCTAACTGTGGGTGCCAAGGTGTTATGATACCAAGAAAGTGAGAAATACGGTTGGACTGTTTCTGCTGACAGTAACTGAGTTCATGAAATAAAGGTTGCAGGATATAAACTAGTTAACATAAGGATTACCTACCTGGCAGTATATGTGAAGGATAGCCCACAAAGGAAACAAAAAACACTTATTTGTTATGAATGGTGTGTTTGGCAAAGGGAAATTCTCTGTGTATGCCTTATGATTCTTTTGATAATTTTTGTTGGCATGTAGTTGATTTATATTATGTTGTATTGGTTTCTGGTGTACAGTAAAGTGAATCAGTTGTACATACACATATATCCATTCCTTCTTTGGATTTTTTTCCATATCGGTCCTTACGGAGTATTGAGCAGAGTCCTGGGCTACACCATAAGTTCTAGTTAGTAATCTATGTGTCCTCCCATATAGTAGTGTGTATATGTCCGTCCCAATCCCGATTTATCCCTCCCTCACCCATTAATCCCCTGGTAACCATAAGTTTGTTTTCTACATCTGTGACTCTATTTCTGTTTTGTAAATAAATTCATTTATACCAAGTTCTATATTCCACATATAAACAATATCATATGATATTTGTCTTTCTCTGTCTGACTGACTTCGCTCAGTGTGACAATCGCTAGGTCCATCCATGGGGCCGCAAGTGGCATGATTTCCTTCCTTTTTATGACTGAATAATATTCCATTGGGTGTTTCAGCTGGCTCAGTGTTTAAAGAATCTGCTTGCCAAGCAGGAGATGAAGAGTTTGACCCCTGTGTTAGGAAGATTCCCTGGGGAAGGAAATGGCCACCCACTCCAGGATTCTTGCCTGGAAAATGCCATGGACAGAGGAGCCTGGTGGGTTACAGCCTGTGGTGTTACAAAGAGTAGGATATAACTGAGCAACTAAAAGAGCAACAACAGTATTCCATTGTATACATGTATCACATCTCCTTTATCTACTCCTCTGTTGAGGGACAATTAAGTTGCTTGGCTATTGTAAACAGAGTTGCATGTTTACATGTATCAGTTCTTGACTAATAGTAAACATTCCGTAAATGATAGTTATAATTAATATTTCATTAAGATTATAAATTGTAAATATCTTTAAAAGATTTTTTATATATACACTGATTTCATAAGTGGTTCCTCTTTTCTTTTACATCAACTTCATTGAATACACATACAGTACAAGGCATATATTTTAAGTGATCAGTTCAATGAGCTTTGACAAATATTTATACCATGTAACCACTACCTCAGTCAAGATACAAACCATTTTCACTACCAGAGAAAATTTTTTCATGCCCGTTTTCAGGCAATCCTAAACCCCTAAAACCACTATCACCAATTTGGAGTTGTAGATTTCTAAAGTAATCAGAAGAGTATTGTACCTACATTTCTATGTCTGACTTATTACCCTCAGTATAATATTTAGATTTATTTATGTTGCTATATGTACCAGTAGTCTGTTTATTTTTATTGCTGAGGAACATTGTATTATACGAATATTCCATGTTTTGTTTAGACATTCAAGTGTTGATGAACATTAGATGATTTCCTGTTTGGAAAATGAAAATAGCTATACAAACATTGATGTCTTCTTATGTGTGTGTTAGTCATTCAATCATGTCCAACTCTTTGCAACCCCATGGACTATAGCCCGCCAGGTTCCTCTGTCCATGAGATTTTTGAGCCAAGAATACTGGAGTGGGTTGCCACTTCCTTTTCCAGGGAATCTTCCTGACCCAGGGATCGAACCCAGGTCTCCCGCATTGTAGACAGACGCTTTACCATCTGAGCCCCCAGGGAAGTCACTCACAGGGCTAGAGCCCTATATTTCCCTAACTGGTCTCTCTCCTTAAGCTAAGTCATGCTGGATACTGCTGTTATGGACCCTCTTCCTGAAAAGGTTAGAATGGCAGTCATAATTCCTCATTAGTCAGATTCAGGTCACCTGAAAGCACAATTTTACTGGAAAATATTGGGCTTCCCAGGTGACACCGTGGTAAAGATCCTGCCTGCCAATGCAGAAGACATAAGAGATTTGGGTTTGATCCCTGCATCAGGAAGATCCCCTGGAGGAGGGTATGGCAACCCACTCCAGTATTCTTGCCTGGGCACCTTCCTTGAGAACTTTTTCTAATTACATGGTTTGTTGGTGCAAAGATAAGTTAGGTTTTGAAAACATGTGAAAACCAGAAGGTAAATGTATGTAGTTTTAAGAGGATTCCAAATCACCTCTTGGCTAGGATTGCTCATTTAATGGGTAAGGACTTCCCCATGCATACCTGCTGGAGAATTCCAATATTCTGTTAGTAATTAAAACCAGTGCTCAGAACTACTCCAGCCTCAGAGCAAACTATAGCTTGCCCTCCCCCTGTGCTAAAATAAGTATCTACACTCCTCAGGCTGGATTTTTCTCAAACTTTCATGGACCTGTAGACCCTCCAATATATCCCTGCCCTTCACTTAATTCCTCTAGACACTGCTCACTGATTCTATCTGACACCAGCTCATGGGAAGCTGAGCCAGGCTATTGTGTTTAACAGTATAGACATGGCAATGTTAGTCCATCCAGATAACATATAGGGTAAGACTAGAGGAGACACCATAACCCAAAGTATCAACCTTGACGGAAGCATCATGAATATCACTGCATAGTTTGCAGCAGGTGGATTTCCTGTAGAGGGCCAGATTCAGGTATAAGCTAGAATTATCCAGTTCTGGCTTAAAATAAAGAACTGTATAGCAAGCTCCCAATATCTTTACTAATTATTTCTTACTTATATTTATTTACTTTTATAAAAATATAGATCATACATAAATTCATGTATTAAGGAAGAAAGCCATACCTTGATAATAAACTCCATTGAGGTGGCCAGCATGACATTTGTTCATCCACCAACCCGATCCATCCTGTTCAGCACAGTTGCCATCATACTTATCATTGTCACTGTCCCAGGTACTGAACTGCATGCCATTATGGGATGTGAAAAACTTGTCACTAGAATCATCACCAAAATCATAGCCATCAAATGCATCTCCAGCATCTCCACCAATGAAGTAAGCATATGTCAGGCGGTATTTGTCATTTTCACCTGTTAACTTGAATGAAGCATAGTCTGCAGTGCTGCAAAGAAGGGAATAGAGATCTTAGACCCTGAGCCTATAATTCATCTCAGAAGTTCCTTCTTTCATAGGACAATTGTTAGGAATTTTAAGCTTTGCTTCATAAGTCTGAAATGTGTTTACTGAACAAAATTTTTCACAAATCTGGCATGGGATAACAGGTGTGGGTAACATTCTCAAGGTCATCAGCACCACCCAGGATGGGTCTAGAAGCTTTCAGGACATCCAAGGGAAAACTAAAAACTTCAGCTATCCTGAATGCTCTTTGCCTATAGTATCCTAATATCTAACCCAGATATATTGATGAACCTAATTTCACATTTTCCACTTTTATCTCAGTATGTAGCATACACACACAGTTCTCATAAACCACATTAATTATCTGAAAGTGAGTGACTATTAATTAATGCAGCAAGCTGAAAGGAGCTCTAGGTCCACTAGTCACTCATACCATCTAAAGGCTGAAGTCCTTTTAGGGTTTTTTCTTTCTGAAGGAAGCGTGGGAGTGGCAAGGAGAGTCTCCTTGAGCATCACATAAAAGAAGTGACTCCTGGTGGCCCACAAAACATGAACTGTAGGGTCAGAGAGAGATTCTCCCCTGGAAAATAATCGTAAATGAAAGCCAGAATTCTATGGAGTGCAGGGAAAAATGGGCCTTGGTGCATAAACAGAGATTTCCAGAAAACACTGAGCTTCCCTGATCTCCAGGACTTAAGAAATGGGAGATGTTCTCATAGGAGAAGGTCTACTGACTATAGTATTATACTTTCTGGTTAAAAATTTTAAAAATACACATTTGGGCACAGACTATACTTCATCATGTCATAGACATAACAAGAGGGTTGGATATTGTTTTCAATTTCAATGAGGTATACAACATTTAAAGTGCCCAGACAGCTCTGTGCATAGAAGGAACTCTAGCTCACCAAAGGTGCCAGCTGATTTCATTTTAAGGTAGCTCCTGGATTTGATTGACTGTACTTGATTCCCAGTCATTAAACACTGAGAAATCTGAAAAAGCTAGATTACTTTCCATCTAGGATAGCAGCTAAGAAGGTGGGTTATAAGAGGTAAACTACCTAAGTTTAAATCCAATGGATGCAACCTTGGAAAAGTTAATCTGTAAAATGGAATTAATAGTAATTCATGCCTCATGAGCTATTTGGATTTAAGTTATAATTTCATGTGTAATTTATGGTACATAAATGCTCAGGAGATATTAGCTATTGTTTTGTATGATTCCAGGGTAAGTGGATTATACCAAAACACTCAGATCCTGCCTGAATGGGACCTAGTGCCTTGGAGTGCCCAAGAGCCAAACTGACTTCTGGGGAACATAGTTGAATGTGCTCTTCACATCTGTCAGACTGTTTTCCACATTATTCTGCTGAGACTAGCAAGTGCATACTCCAGGGTGTCTCTACAACCAAAGTCAGAAGTCCTTCTTGATAGTACCTGGTTCTGCCATTCCAGTCCTCCAACTGTATTCTTAATACATAAGGGATGGTAGACTGTGTGCTTATCAAATGAATCTTCTCATTTCCCAGCCAAAATTCTGTGTTTCCAGTTGGAGACAGATGTCCAAACCCTTCTTTATATTGAATCCAGTTTTTCTTGAAATCCACACTGCCGTCAAGCCTCTAATTACACAATCGCACAGGCAAAAGGAGAGAATGTATTATCGGTGCACATAAGGAAAACGTTACAGCCATTTTGGCCAAAATACGGAGGCTATGATTTCATCAATTACCAAGTGACCCTGGGCTAGCTACCTGTCTCTTAAATAGGAATAATGATGCTTACTTCTCAGGAATGTTTCAGGGATTACACCAGAGAATGTAAAAGTACTTAGAAGAGGATCTGGCACATGATAAATTGTAACCTACTAGTAGTTTTGCAAAGACTCCTAGAGGACTCCAGAACATCAGCTTGATGTCGCTGATTCTTGTACTGACGGTGGAAAGGTCAGCCTATTGCTCAACCTGTGTCTACCAGCTAAGCTTCCATCACTCACTTGCTCTGAGTGCCCCCTGCAGCCTTAGCTGTAGCAACGGTCAAAGGTAAACAGAATGTAAGGGGATTTGCGGTGGATGCCTGGGGCTGGCAAAGCCTGCAGAGGGGCCTGGTCGTGGGACAGCCTGACTGCATCCTCTGGGGGACACCATCTTCTTGCGATGGGCAGCCCTGGGTCTTGATGTCAAAGTCGAGAGGTCCCTCTGTCACTGTGAGACTGTGATCATGTGCCATCATGAATGTACACAGCGGGGCCAGCATAGCAAAGAACCTATCTCAGTACAGAGTGAAATCAGACTATATTCTGACTCTGTTACTTAGTCACGTGACCTCGGGCAAGCTATTTGGCCTCTTGTGCCCAAGTTCCCTTCTCTGTAAACAGGAATAAGCAGGCCAAAACTACCACAAAGGAAAGTTGTGAATGTTATTGAATTAATGCCTACAAGGTGCTTGGAAAAGTGTCTGGCATATGGCAGAACAATCAGGTGTCTATTAAATACACAGGGTGAGGGAAAAATACCTTCTGAAACACAGTCCATCCATTTCCAGACCCATCGATTTCACAGTAGACTAAGAACTGCTGCTTAGCTTTCAGAGGTCTGATAAAGTAAAGCCCACTCTCTTTGGCCCCCTTATTAGCAACCTCTTGGCAGTCTGAAAAAGAAGAAATTTTTATGGTGGTTTGAAACCCAGGTAAGATTGTGTCGGCCTTGAAAATGAAAATTTTAACATGTCAGAAACTATTCATTTCCTGAGAAGTGTTTTCTTATTTCTCAATCATTATTCCTTTCAAAGTAAATTTTCAGCTACTCAAAAAAGTCTAAGCAATTAGACTGTTTATATTTAATGGCTAGACACTGTCCAATGTATTTGTATATATTCTAATACATACAATCTCCTTTACTTTTTGTATCTGCTCTGATGAACTTAATCTCATTATAAACTTTTCACTTACCTCTCCCAGTTACATCATGTATTTTCACTGTATCTTGACAAGGCTCTTGACACTGTGCTTCAAGCTGGACCACTTTCTGTTTTAGGTTATTGATTTTTTGATTATTTGAGTTATACATTTCCTGCAAAAATCTACAAGCAAAATAATAAGATAACAGATTATTCTTTTCAGATACCACCTTATTTTCTCAAGAATTATTTCCTGACAAATTACTCCATTCTTGGAAAAAGTTTAAAATGATATTAATAAATTGAGGCGAATGAAAATTCTAAGCTTTTTTGGAAAAGAAAATAACAAAGTCCTTGCCAATAAATCATATCACTGTAAGTGGTCATTCTGATTTTCGTTTCTGCATAAAAGGCAACAGATAATAAAGTACACAAGTGATGAGCCTGATAAAGACAACCTGGTGATTATTCTTAGGACAATATTCTTAGGGAAGGAAAAGCTCTGTTTAGAAGTTCACACATGCTAAAGCATTATTCCTTTTCACTTGTGGATTTAACTGAAGATCTATTTATGGACTTCAGTCTATAACTTACATGAGAAAAGTATCTGGAGTATTATCTTACATAAAATAAAAAAACAGATATTTTCCCTTTCTTCTTAATGTTTCTGTTTACACAACTTCAGAAAAAATCTGGGGAAAGTGAAAAATCCTGCTTTTGTAGTTTCTCACAGGACAACCTGTTCATATTCAGAAATAATAGAAAACTATTATGCACATAGACTGTTGTCTCTGAGGTTCTGGATAGACAAACTATTTGACCACTTTTTTCTCTCCTGCACCTTGGACATTTTCTGCACTATAGTCTCCCTTCAGTCTCAACAATGGGCAATAATAATGCAAATCATAATGACAATAACAATAATAATAGTATCCCTCTGCTACCAAAAAGAGGATTAAACCCCTTCTGGGCCACTTCTCCTCAACCACCATTTATCTCAATTTCTTATGCTACTTCTAGAACAGGTTAACCTAGGATAAAAATTGAGGAGGAAACTAAAATTGCGTCTGAGACCCAATGTTCAGAAAGTCTACAAGTTCCTGGGAAGTTGTTAACAGAGACATTTTACTTTCAAGAGAAGGGAGGTTCTGTGCAACAGGCAGCTTTACAATGTTTATCACACAAACTTGTCTCTTAAGGCAAGTTTTTTTTTTCTGCTCTACCTTTCAATGTCATTTACCAAGATCATTCCTATGTTTCTGCTCACAAATTCCTCGCCACCCATTTGTTGACACTTTTATAAAAAGAATTTTATTTTCAAATTTCCATCAGTTTGAATTTATGTGGAAAGCAAACTAAAACAAAAAATGCTTACCGAATTGTTGATTCATGTGTTGCTATCAATGTTTCATATTTCATAATTTCTTCCATCATTCTCTTGGAATTCTTGGTAGCACGCTCTATGTTATCTGTAATATGGGATCAGAGATATAAAAGTACATAAGCAAACAGAACCACTGAAATAACAGCAAAAGAACTTCATAGATGACTTTCTCAGGCAGTGGTGGTTAGATTCTCACTTGGCTTTGATGGTTCATCAGGGTTATAGCTGATCTGGATTGCTTTGACCAGCTCTCTGGCTTCTGATGTTTTGTTCTCAACCTGATATAAGATGCCTTCCAAATTTTGTAGATCCTTGTCTACACTGGTTTGGTAATTAGACAGGAAATCTGCAACTCCACAGGTAGTTGGGCAATAACTACCCTGAAAATACAACAATAGTGTGATTAAAAATTCTGATAAAAAGCTACATGAGATCTATTAATAAAAATAGGTAAAACCTAGACTATGTTTTTAAAAAGTCTAAACTGCCAAAAGATACTTGCTAAAGAATCTCTTGTAAGGAATAAAACTTCCTCTGCCCACGTCCAGTTCACACACAGAGAGAAACATAAAAGCGACTTACGAATCTTTCATCTAAGATGCAACAGTTGTCTCGGGTAGCGACATACTAGAGGAGGAAAACACAGGAATTTCACTTGCATATCGGATATTTTCTTATTTTTAAGCTTTCCGTTTGAAACAAATGACATTTTGTAAACAGCACACTTACTGCAAGGCATGGTGAAAAGAGCAATGAAAGAATGTAGAAGTAGATGACACTCGGAAGGTGCGAGGACCAACTCATGGCGTCGGCGGGCCCCGGGCTGCGAGCCTGGAAGGTCAGAACTGTGACTCTCGGGGCCCGAATCGTCCCTTTATTTAAGCTCCAAGCACGGTAGGACGGCCAGTGGCTGAAGCCGATCACGGGGCCTTCTTACCAGAAGGGCGGAACGTCTTTCCCGTCTCTTCCTCATCCTGGCCCCGGACCAATGCTCAGTCAGGTTCCCAGATTCTGCACACAGGTCTAAGCTCCTCCTTGCTGGCGCAGCTCAATGCGCCTCCTGGGAAGCCAACTCTCTGCAAAGGCTAGTGAAGCATTGACCAACGCTCGGAGGAGGGAGGGGGCCGGGAGGCTGCGTGATGCAACCACTTCCAGGACAGGTAGAGCAAACACACCCACCGCTGACCTCGGCCGGAGCAAACTGCCCCTGCCTTCAGATGGAGTCTGGTACCATAACCCAAATACCCCGAATTATCCTAAGTCAATTCTGAGACGAGGGGATGAGTGAAAACCTGTATTTTTAACCTGTGCGAATGTCAGGTGGAAACTTTGCCTTCCACTAGGTCTGAATATGTCACTGTTACCAGGAACGAATGCCTGACCCACCGCTTTGGCTATTTTCCTTTTTCAAAAATTGAAATATGATTACTACATAGCATTATATTAGTTTCAACGGTACAAAATAATAATTTGATATTTCTATATATTACAAAATGATCATCACTATATAGTTAGCATCGGTCAGCACACATAGTTGCAAAAAACTTTTTTTTCTTGCGATGAGAACTTTTAAGACCTACCCTCTTAGCAACTTTCAAATATGCAATACAATACTCTTAACCATAATCACCATGCTGTACATTACATCCCCAGGACTGACTGACTTCATAGCTTGAAGTCCTTGTCTTTTGACACCCTTCACTCAGCTGTTGATTATTTTTGTAGACTCTCAGTTTGCAGTGGGATTTTTACATTTTTTTTTCCCAGATGGTAGCCTGAGGACACATGCCCCGTTCATTTATTTTATTTTGTTAACCATTTAAGCGTTTTTATTACTGATGGGCTGCTCTGGGTCTTTTGTCTGGCTGCAGTGAGTGAGGGCTACTCTAGCTGTGGTGCACGGGCTTGGTAGGTGCGGTCGCCAGGCTCTGGAGCGCAGGCTCAGTACTTGCGGGCACGGGCGTAGTTGCTCCGAAGCACGTGGGATCCTCCCTGACCAGGAACAGAACCTACCTCTGCTGCGCTGGAAGGTGGATTCTTTACCACCGACCACCAGGGAAGCCTTTTTTTTTTTAGTATAATTTACAGTGTTGTGTTAGTTTCAGGTGTGAAAGTGATTCAGTTATATATATACATATATGTAATTTAAAAATAATTGAAAATGTATCTATACGTATGTATTCATGTTCAGATTCTTTTCCATTATAGGTTGATATAAGATATTGAATATAGCTCCCTGTCCTATGCTATAAACCTTTGTTGGCTATCTATTTTATAAATAGTAATGTGTATGTATTAGTCCCAAACTCCAAATTTATTTCTCCCCCTCCTCCATCCCCTTTAGAAACCATAAATTTGTTTTCTATATTTGTGAATCTATTTTTGTTTTGTACATAAGTTCATTTGAATCATTTTTTTGATTGTGCATACAAGTGATATCATATGATATGTGTCTTTCAAACTTACTTCACTTAGTATAATAATCTCTAGACATTATTTCACTTTTTATGGCTGAGTAGTATTCCATTGTGTACATATACCACATCTTTATCCATTCGCCTGTTGATGGACAGTTTGATTGTTTTCATGTCTTGGCTATTATAAATAGTGCTTCTGTGAACAGGGGTACATGTATCTTTTCATATTGTGGTTTTCTCCAAATATATGCTCAGGAGTGGCATATATTTACATTCCCACCAACAGTGCAGTGAGATTTTGAGCTCAGCCCCTCCCTTTGTCTACAAGTATCAGCTGGTGTAGCACCATGCCTGCCTCAGATGGGAAACAAGTCAGGAGCCTATTGTGTTTTTCCTGAGGTTCCATCTAGTTACTTCAGAGCAAAGCCTGGCTACAGGAGGCAGGGACCATATGTCCCTTATATTGACTAGGAGCATAACTGGAGGAAAGGGGGCAAGAACTAGGCAGGAGCTGTCCTTTTCACTCTGACCCTCAAGTTTCCTTGTGTATTGGGACAGTATGTTTATTATCATCTCCAATTAATAATTTATAATAATGCACTATCATTATCCCTCCTTCTAATATCCTTCATTTCATTCTCTGAAACCAGCTTACTGCAAATTTTCATTGTATATTTAGTGGGAGAAATACATCTAAATTGAGATAAATACTAATACTTCAATGTCTAATCCTAAATCTTTACAAAGAAATAATTGTTTTGACTTGAAACAAAGATAAATATTCCTACTCGGTAAATAATAATTATTCTAACAAAATGAATACATTAAAACCAGATTTGTTGCCTTTTCTTTCCTCCTTAATAGTTACCCTCTCTGATTTACCAATCGTTGCCAATCACATCACCAAACATCAGCCAATTAAAGCCACAGTCTTCTTCAACCTCCTCGTTTATTCATCTTATCAGTTGTTGAAGCTTATTATTAAAACTGCTTTCTCATTGTCACTTCTGTTTTATTGCTCTTTTCTATTTCCATTGCCAATATCTTAAGAGGGACAGTTTATTTCTTGTCTAGACTGCAGATAGATGGGAAACGATGGAAACAGTGAGAGACTTTATTTTGGGGGGCTCCAAAATCACTGCAGATGGTGACTGCAGCATCCAAGGGGCCACAAAGAGTTGGACATAACTGAGCGACTGAATTGACTGAGACTGCTTATGCACACTGTCTGTTAACTGATTTCCCTTCCTCTTCAATGGCCTCCTGCTCCAAATCTGTTGTCACACTGCAGACAGATTCATCTTTCTGTAAATGTAGCTCTGATTATGATATTCACCTCCTCAAAAACCTTTCTATCTCTCATCACAGTGAATGTAAACATAATAGACATCCCTTCCTACCACTGCTACTTTTTCTCTCTTGATTCTATTTCTTACACTCTCTAGTCTGTCCAGCCTGAATCACACAACATTCCTAATGTAAACCATATTGTCCCATTTCTCAGATACTTTTCCTTTTTTACACACTGCTCCTTCAGTCTGGATTGCCTTCACACACACTCCTGCACCTCTGGCTGTGTATTCATTCCTACTTCCCCAAAACTTGGAGAAGAGCATGGCAACCCACTTGAGCATTCTTGTTTGGAGAATTCCATGAACCAAGAAACCTGGCAGGCTATAATTCACGGGATCGCAAGGAGTTGGACATGGCTGAGAGATCACTACTATTACTACTACTCCCCAAAACCAAAACCCAAGCTCTGGAGGCCAGCTTCTCTTTAATAGCATTTCAGCAACCTATACATGCTGCATCCACTTCACTAGATTGTAAATACTAATAACCATTTTGTGGCAATAGCCATAAAAATATTATATATGTATGCTTAGTTGCTCAGTTGTGTCCAACTCTTTGGAACCCCATGGACTATAGCCTTTCAGGCTCCTCTGTTCATGGAATTCTCCAGGCAAGAATACTGGAGTGGATAGCCGTTCCCTTCTCCAGGGGATCTTCTCGACCCAGGGATCAAACCCTAGTCTCTTGCATTACAGGCAGATTCTTTACCATCTGAGCCACCAGGGAAGCCCCTATAAGTGTGTTAAACATTCCGTAATGATTTAATAACACTAAATTGAATTGGTCTGGAAGTAAGCCTTTAAATAACATTTGCATTTCTAATAATACTTAAAACTTCCAAATTGCAAATGTAAATGACTTTGGCAAGGGTAATTAGGTAAAGGGAAATGAATAATCAATGAGAAAGTAGCTATTGATAAGGTGGATATATAAAAATTATTAGTTAGAAACCAATAGCCATCTTCTATAAAGGAACAGCTAGTGAAAATATACAATGGAAGAAAAAATGTACTTATATATATGTAATTTCTACCACACACACATACACATACAGCTAGATAAAATATCTAAGGAGAAATTAACAAGAAATAAGCAAGATTGATATTATTAAAAATTCCAAACAATGCTATCAGGATATAAAATAAGAGCTGGTGAAAATTAAAATCATGCTCTATGCCTAAATAAAGAGATTCAATAAAACTGTCAATTATTTCTGTGATAGTTTAGAACTGTATTGATATTGTAATAAGGCTAAATTTGATTTTTTTTTGTTCTTTCTCCTTTTCTTCCTTTTTAAAAAGGAGTTAGGTAAGATGTTTCTAAAGTGCAATGAAAAAAAGAAAATTACCTTGGAAAATTCTAAACAAGAAGAAAAAGGAGGGCAAAACTATCTCTCAAATATTAAAGCATGTTATTAATCCATAATTTTTAAAAAATAAGATACTGGACCATTGTAGGTATAGACAAATATTCTTCAGATATAGGCCTAAATATATGTTGGTGTTTAGTATGATCAAGTTGACATTGCATAGGGGATGATAGAAGAAAATTATTCAGTATATGGCATTAGTATGGTATTAGCATAATTGGGAAGCTATCTGCAATGAACTGCAGGCTGATTCTTTTATTTTTTATTTAAATTAATTTACTTATTTTAATAGGAGGCTAATTACTTTATGATATTGTAGTGGTTTTGCCATACATTGACATGAATCAGCCATGGGTGCACATGTGTTCCCATCCTGAACCCCATCCCACCTCCCTCCCATCCCATCCCTGAGGGTCATCCCAGTGCACCAGCCCCGAGCACCCTGTCTCATGCATCCAACCTGGGCTGGAGCTCTGTTTCACATATGGTAATATACATGTTTCAATGGTATTCTCTCAAATCCCAAGAGGAGACAGCATTTCTCTCCTAGAGAAGAAAGTGATTAAGGTGGAAAGGCCACTCATCACAGATGAAACGGTATTAGGACCAGTTGACTTGCCCTCGTGAAAAGGTGTGCATCTTACTAGTAAGCATGTTGGGCAGAACATGTTGTCTTTGAGCTTCTTTTTGCTGAAGACCATAAAATATCAACTTCTTGAATTTAAGGTAAAAGTTTATAACTTTATGTTAAATATATATGTATAAAACACATAGCTTCATATATACAAGGCTAATAAACACTT